TTGCCCGCCCCTCCCTGAGCCTGGTCCTGCCAGAGATTTCTTCCTGTTAAAAGGGAGTTTTTCCTTCCCACTCTCACCACAGTGCTTGCTTTCATATGATTGTTGGGTTTTCTCTGTATATATGGTCTACCTTACAGTATAAAAATGTGGCACTATCTAAATAAAATTGAATTAAATTGAAATTGAATTACAAAAAGTTAAAGTCTACACCCTTACGTTTAGTATATTTAGTTTTCTTTAATTTACATTTTTTATTCTCTCTATTGATCGTCAAGTCTCAATTCCTACTGCGAAATCTTGATAGTAAGGTCAAAATTTGAAATGAAACCACAGCATGGAATCCTTTGACTAGAGCTATTCAACAATATCAACACTTCAGACTGGTGTGAAATGGTGTGGACAGTATTTTCTTTCGTGATTTCTTTCATAACCCTTATTACCAAATGAGCATGATCTAAATAAATTAAATAGGAGATTAACATCTTTATTCACTTTTACGCACTTACAGTTATTTATTCACCTTTCAGTCACTTTAATTTTAAAACTGTGTATATACTGTATCTCACTCTTATTGCCTGTTTATGCCCTGTCCTTATCTTCAACGTCATGCTGCTCTGTTGTATGTTAATTGCCCCTTGGGGATAAATAAAGTCTTTCTGACTCTGATTCTGAACACAGATGGCCACAGATCTGATGTTCCAGAAAACAAGTTGGAATGACCACGTCTACATGCCTCGTCTAAATGTCTTGACTATGTCTACAATCTAAAACACACAAATTGCTGCCATGTGATTGGCTACTTAGATGTGTCAGAGACCTGGAGAACTTAAAAGTGAACATAAAATACTACATATAGTGAGGATAATTTTGACCATGGAACCATACTCTAGAAAACTGTCATAGATTTAACACGGTCTGTGAAGCTGGATGCTGGATGGTACTAGTAGCCTTACATTGGTTTATGTTAACTAACTAGTGACAGAGCTGGTAGCTCAGTGGAAAAAAAAGGACACTAAAACTAAAATGCAGTGTAAGGGGGTCACTTTTGTACTGCCCCTGGCTGCAGAAATACATTTTATGTTAAGAAACCAAAGATATACTGTCCACGTTTACTCTCTGTTACTTAAGCAGTAAGTAGTTCTTTGCTGTTTGGCTAGCTACACTGAAAGTGGAAAATCAACCTTTTGGTTTGTGGGGCCCTTTATAAATGGGGACTGTGTGGAGGAGAGTTGTTTGAGTCAGGCGCACTGTGGTTCACCCGACCGACAAGCTAGTTACCAGTCTGACACTGTCAGTTCCCTGTTTGTTTTCTCCTCACTGGTTTAGGTCTACAGGCTGAGCGGCGCAATCAGCTGACAGAGCAGTACTATTTTAAGCAATAGAATATTCTCTTTTCCCATGCACAAACCATGGAAACCTCATGTCCTTATTTTTCACTGAGTAGAACTTCATACTTGAGGAAATACCAACATGTAAGTGCAGGGTTCCTGTAGCTCAGGAGGTAGAGCAGGTCAGTTGCTGGTTGGGACGGTTGGTGGTTCAATTCCTGGCTTCCACAATCTGCATGCCAAATATCCTTGGACATAATACTAACCCTAAGTTGCTTTCTGGTGCATCCATTGGAGTGTGAAAGTTAGAAAGCACTTGTGATTGTAAGGATACATGTAGTATTTCATGTCCATTTTAAAGTGGATTGATCCACTTTTGCAGCCAGCCTCAAGTGGCCATTCAAGGAACTGGTGTTTAGTTTGAATTTTCACCTTCAGAGATTGGTGCTTGGTTGAAGCATACGAATACAGAAGTAAATTTTGTGAGATGACATTTAGAAAGGGTCTGTCAAAGACAAATGCACTGAAAGCTGGTGAAAACTAAAAGCAGACAAACCATCAGATGAAGTGGAAGCACAGACAGACTGTGTGTGCGCACTGTTGGTGTGTCACTTGGTAGGTTAACAGCGACAGCAGTAAATAAAAGTGAAATCAGTGAAGTCAGTAAAATCTTGCAATGAGCAGATAATGCATACAGTACAAACTGTTATATACAGACACTGGATGTGTTTCAACCACATACAGAGATTGCACCATTGACAGTGCACGAATGATGCAAGACTATAGATATTTATGCATTTGATGTAAATGCTGCTGTCATTAACAGTACTTTGATATATGACTTCTCGGTGACAGCTCTGTTTGCCAGTGTTCTCCACAGATGAGAGTTGCCATGGGACAGCGATGAGAGCGTCTGTCTGACTTTGTGCTTGTCTGTCTCTCTCTCCGTCTTCTTCCTTTATTGTTTTGCTTCCTTTCAGCTGCTCTGCCTCTGCTAAGACAGAGGCTGTCAGGATTGGCTGAGAGCTAAATTGCTCAGCGCGAGCTCGGTCACAGCTCAGCTCTCCTTGAGATAATGAAATGACAATTAATGAGAAAGCTGTTGCCATTCGCTCATTTGTTCACTTGCAAGTCGAACGGCAGTATGTAGAGACAGACAGAAAGCACTGCAGTCGTGGCAGGCATCGGAAAGTGCCCAGCGGTTGTTTTCATATTAAAGCTGCTGTTAAAAATTCATGTGACTATCACAAAACGAAAGTTTCGCCCAGTGGTCAAACCATGATTCAAAGGAAATATCATTTCAATACCAGACTGAAAAAAATTTCCAGATAGATTTCTACCTAAATCTAAATGTCAACAATCAGAATACATGTGCTTGTCTGTCGAATTATGTGGGTAGAGACTTTGGATGCACCTCTAGAGAGATATGTCGCACGTGTGGAAAAGGTATATCCTTTATTAACCCAGAGACACTTCAGTCGATACATTATTTACCATAGCCTGGGCCCTACACAGCAAAGAGCCAAACAGAGCTCTGGCCTACTGAGATAGTCCCTGACAAAATGGCAGAATACACACATATTTCCTCAAAAAGAAAGAGTGAAAGCAGGCCCTTGGGCATCTCATAAAACCTCTCTCCAATATGTGCTGTGAAGTCAAAATTGTAGCCCAAAAACCACAGAGAGTAAAAAAAATAAATTCTATTTAATTTCTGTCTGCTGTTGTTGTCCGTTAATGCATTTTCCTCCCAAAGTCAATACACTTGTAGAATAAAACATAAAATTATCTTAGTAGAAGTAACATGCTCACAGAATAGGAATTGCATACTGTATATGGATTTGTGTTTTTAAAAGACTCCAGGCAGACATTTTATGTTTCTGTCTGTAAATACAATTATTTTAACTGAAGGCAAAAGCTAGTAAAGTATGACATGAAATTGCATCATTTCTGTTATTATGCTAGTGGGGGATGTGATAAAGCTGTGTAATCTAGTTAGCAAAGTCCCTGTTTGCATGGCTGATCAAGCTAAGCTTCGTGTGAGTGCATTACAATAAAAAGGCTCAGTCAAGTACACAAAATGAAAATGGAACAAAATTACTCCAAGGTGTGGAGCACACTGCAGCATGGGACGATTCAGTGCTTACCTGGTATTGGTTGGCCTTGGCGAGTTCTTGATTGGCTGAGTCCACATTAGAAGAAGCTGTCTGGATGTAATCTTCAATACTATCTGAGGAAACAAAGAACAGATTGGATTCCTTTTAACATAACAACAAACAACAATACTCATTCATTCACTGACTTGCTCACTACTGGTTTGTAGAGCCTCACAAGTACTACAGCTGCAGGAATTGTACCTCATCAGAAATCACTGCACATCTATAACATTGTACATATTGAACACAAATGATACACAATATCTGTAATAGTAGTATAGAAACAAAAACACCCCTGTCAAAACAATGCACTACATATTTGCCATACATCATGCCTCAGAAACCAGTGTTGCAAATATATACTTTAAAGGCCTTCAAAATATGAAACAATCTTTCTGCCATCATCATGCTGAAGATTTGATTGCCAGCAATCTTAGTTGCCCATCTCAGCGTTGTGGATGTGTACAGGTCTTGCAGGGAATTGCAGCCAATCATCTTCTCATTGGAATGGATGACACACTGCAGTCTGGCTTTGTCCTTGGCAGTGGCAGCAGCGTACTAGATGGTGATGGAGGAGGTGAGGAAAGACTCAATCATGGAGGAGTAAAATTGTACCATCACGGACTTAGACAGGTTATATTTCTTCAGCTGGTGCAGGAAGTGGCTTTTTGTTGAAGTAGCTGATCTTTAGGTCCCACTTTAGGTGCTGGGAGATTGTTCCCAGGAAGTGGAAGGACTTGATTGTCTCCACTGGAGAGGCATGCTGGAATATGGGAACTGGTGGAGCTGGAAGTCCAGTATCATCTCTACTGTTTTGATAGCATTGAGCTCCATGTTGCTCCAGACTCAACCCCACCTGAGGTGAGCCCTGAAAGCGTGGCGTCAACCGCAAACATCGGGAGTTTAATGGGGTGGTGATTGGAGGTGCAGCTGTTAGTGTATAGAGATATGCAGAGGATAAAGTACAAAGCCCTGAGGGGAAGCAGTGCTGATCCACTGAAAGTCTAAACCATGGCATCCAGTCTCACATGCTTCCTTGAATTGAACTGGGAGATCGTATCCTGCAGCTCAGCTGGGAGGATGGTATTAAAAGCATAACTAAAGTCCATAAAAAGTACCCTCAAGTGCAGTGCCATAATAACTGCATCATCCACTGACCTGTTGGGTCTGTATTCAAGGACCAAGATGGGGACGATGAAGTATGTGAGATGGGACAATACAAGCTTAGATGTCAACCAGGACTTGTAATTACTAGAACTCACCCTGGCGTGTGATGCATTATACTTTAACTTAGTGCTCCATGTTTACATATAATGGTGGAGTGCTAAGTTAAGACTAGATTAAACTCAGTTTTGCATAGCTGGAGACCTGAGTAGCCATTCCTGTTATACTTCTTTAAAGTCTGCCTGGGCATAAACATGCTTTGTGGATTGTTATGTAAACTCTCTGTGGACTAGTTCACATGGCCATAAGAAACAGGAAGACACACTGATGCACTCTCACGCTTACTGTCTGACGATGAAATTTATCTCGTTGGGACCCAAGCAGACCGTAGTGAACATAGTCACTTTGGCTTCAAAAGGCTCCAATGTTCAGAGATGGGTGACATCTCTATTGTTCATCGTTTGTATAGTTTAGAGGTAAAGCCTACCCTTTGGGTTTTTTTTAGCAAACTGTGTGAGATTCTTTTCGATTTAAACATTTCATGTGAATATCACAATGGCTGAAGCCTGTTAATATGCAGCTGCTATCAACCTGCATGTGCTAAGCAGGACTTGAAACAATTACTCGTGCTGAAGTTAGCAGATAGTCAGTATACCCTGCAGGAGCTGCTTTCTTAGATTACAGCATCAATTAATGTTCAATGGGAAGACATGTTACAGTAATCTGTCAAAATAAAGTTCACAAAGTCAGCAGTTCGTAAGCTTTTGATGTTGGCCTGGAGGTGTGGCCTCATTAAACCTCCTATAATCTCATATAACTTGTGTTTACACCACATCCGCAAGTCACTGGAACAATAGCCAAATGGGTACTACTGTTGTACCCTTCTGTGTGTGGAGACAGAGATATTGAGAAAGTCAAGATGGTGCAAAGGACAGAAGCAGGAAAAGAGACAGAAACAAGACCAGGACACAGTTCATAGGTAGCTGAGGCCTTATGTACTCCTGTTTTTAACCACTGCAGCCCTACACTGCTTATCTAACTGAAAAATTATCAAAAACATGTTTCAAATCTTGTGGTGATTCAGATATATTCATAAGTAACACATTAATGATGCTCTTCTTGGCCTTTCATTGCAAGATTTTTAAATAAATTTGTGATTTTGCCTGTCCGCATCCGACCCCGCTTCCAATTTACAGCATTAAATCTTTCTATTAGGAATCCGACTTAAAAAAAAAAAGTTCATTTTCTGTTATTTTAACTATGATTAATTCTCGTACAGTACATTAACAGAGGCTTCAAGGTATTACCACTGAAAGGAACTGTGGTCATAGCACTTGAAATATGTGCCCTGAAATTAACAAAAAAGGAATATGAGCAAATATAGCAAATATATAATATTAACACAGATTTAGTAGTTACTTCCCATTGTCATCAGTGGCATACACAGATGATGTTACATTTAAAAAAAATCATCCAAATAAATGACAGAAAGAACACTAAATACAACCTTGCTGATTCATCTGTAATAACACTTTGCACCGGAGTAATATTCTATATTTGATCCATGAATATACATTTACATTTATAAACATAAAAAAAGAAAGTTAGAATTTTAATGCTTCTAATATTTTGCCACCTGTGGGAGCAGTGTTGTGACTCTTCATTGTTACTCTTGACACATAATCAAGCGGTACCAGGAGCTACTGGTCTAACAGTTAACACTGCTACAGCAGCAAGACCTCCTCTTTTAAACTTGTCAGTACACGGACATTAATGGGATGAGACCGATGCGTTTAATGAAGTGGATGGTTCAAAATCTTTGGTATCACCACATAGTTACCCACATATATTTACAGCTGGCCGATAACAGTGAGAGTACTATTGATTGTTTTGGTGTAGTGAGAGTGAAAAGGTTGCAGCCAGCTCAAAGATGTGTCTTATGTTTAAGGCTTCAGTGGCCCCTGATAATTACTGCACCAGTTGAGCTTGTAGAGAATTAACTTTTGAACAAGAGGAGGTGGTTGGGTGAATGAATTGTGTTGATTGACTAAAAGCATTTACTCTGTAATGGTGAGTTAAAGAAGATGGGGAATACATGCTTAGATTCACCAGCTCAAGAAGTAAGCCTGATTAATGGACTCACTAATTAATTCTGTTTTTTTCTGCCCTTCTGCTCAGAGGATGTTCTTTGCCATGATTGGGAAATATTTGGCTTTAAAGAGGTAACTTAAACTAAACCCAGTAGTTAAAGATAATAAGTAAGATTTTGTGGGTACCAGAGTTTAAATGTGTTTAAAAAGGGTACCAAAAGGGTATAGAAGGCAACTGCCTTGAAGACAAGGGACCACTGATGATCACTGTATGTCTATAGGCAATTTTAATCATTAAAAAAAATTAAGAAGCACTCTCATTCCAGGACATAATACAATGACACAAAGCAGTTTGTGATATCCTCCTGAGGATATTCAGATTGAACATTTTTTGTGATTTCCTTTCTTTGGAGCTAAAAGAGGCCACCCAAACACATGAGATATCAATGGAAAGCCCAGGATGTCCTCTATTCAGTACATCAGGACTTAGTAGGGTATCTCAAAATAACAAACATTGTCTATTACAGAGGATATAGGCTGGTTCTCAGGAAGAGGATATAGTCATTCATGTTGGTTTGTTTTTATCCAGTTTGGTTCTTTTTGAGTAATTAGTATATTATTGTACTGTATCTAATGTTATCATTACAGTTTGAGTTTAGTTCTGTTTATCTGACCTCCTTTTAGAGCCTAAAATTATCATTTGACTTTTTATTTATTCATATATTGGGATTTGCATTATATCTTTGCATTTTTGGGGTAAAATGAACCTCACTTTTCCAAAAACTACTATATCCTTATTCCTGCTCAGCTCAGCTTGTCACATATGCTCACAAAGGGAAGACTCTTTTAGTATATTTGAGAGAGTTCCAGAACCTTCCCTCTGGACAAACTTCAGGAATAGCTGGGGCTCTGGATGGTTGTGTTATCTTCACTCTAATGGACCATTTTATTCTTTTTCTTTTATTTATAGCAATGGCGGTTCATGGAGCGTCTCAACAGTTCCTGGATGTTAGCAACATACACTAGCTGAGTCACAGAGATATAGCACAATAAAAGTTTGAGACACAATTGTAAAGGCTAAAATGTTGTTTCTTAAAAACAAGGCTGTATATTATCCGAAACACACGAATCAAATTACCTTGTGTATTAAAACATGTTAGCAGGTTATCCAGCAATTAGGCAGATTAGGCAAGCAAACACAATGTGCATTATGATCAAACAAAAAAAGCTCTTCAGAACAGAACTTCTTGCTGGCTAAATATAACTTTATGACATGTAGTTGTCTGATCTGTTTAATTATGAGTATGATCTATTATGGTAAATGGTAAATGGCTTGCATTTGTATAGCGCTTTTCTAGTCGCTAAGGACCCCAAAGCGCTTTACACTACATTCAGTCATTCACCCATTCACACTCACATTCACACACTGGCGATGGCAAGCTACATTGTAGCCACAGCTGCCCTGGGATCGAACCACCGACCTTCTGATTAGTGGCTGACCTGCTCTGCCACCTGAGCTACAGCCACCCTTATGATAAAAAATATACTTGCATAACAATCAGGGGAACAACTATCTATTTTGTAATATGGCTATAGATAAAGAGTCGGAGCATATTTGAGAAGACTCATAAATATAGCTTCTACCCATATAGCAAGGAGGTCTGGCCCGGATCTGGTATCAAGCCGGCACTGCTGGCTGACTTCTGGCATGATAAGACGTATGTCATCCAGATATGGGCCAGGCCTGGTATAGATGGCACTGTCTATGTGATGACATGCCATATCTGGCTCGATTGTGGTTTGGGTTATGTGGCCCAGGC